GGCCGCAGGTGGCGCGGCGGGGGCTGTGGCCGGGAGGGGGCGCGATGGCCCCGCGGAAGCGGCGCTGCCGCCGTGGGAACCCGGGGCCGCCCCCAGCGCCGGCGGTTCCTGACGCGGCACCATCGGGGGGTCCCTCCCGCCCGGCGGGGCCGCCCCGCGTTCCGCATCACAGCCCCGAGGGCCGGCGCTCGCGTGTGCTTAGCAAGATGCCGGGAAGCGGGGAATAAACACGCGTATAGGCATAGAACATCCCAGCGGGCTGCTGGCGGTGGGGGCGGCAGAGCCGCCGGGAAGCGTTTTGGGGGGACACACCGAGGTGCCCACCCGAGTGCGGAGGCAGCGTGGGGGGGTGGTCGCAGGGTGCGTGGGGCGTAGCTCGTCGGAGGCTGGCGGCTGCCCCGGGGGACGGGAGAATAGCAGGTGCGGGMACTGCGGGAGGGGCTCGGCGATGCCCGGGAGGGTCGCCGGTAGCTGAAGGTTCGTCAGGAACGGGGTCCCCGCAGGACCCCCCGTGACGGAGAACGGAGATAGGAGGGTACGCCCCGTCGGAGCTCCGCAGTCATTGCAGCTCCGCAGCCGCTGGGGGATGACCGAGAGGAGGGGGGTCACCATGGGAAAGGGGGTCACCATGGGGCGGGAGGAGGTGGTCAGAGTAGGGGCGGCACAAGCCGGGGCGGGGGCACACGCGGGGATCGCCAAAGGGAGAGTGGCTGCAAGGTGACCCCCGTGGGGCTGTGCCTCCGCCCTCTCCCGGTTTAATCCTCTGCAGACGCCGGCAGAGGCGGGATAATCAAGCGGAGACTGGGTTGGGGGGGGGGTGCTCCAGCTACACACGCTCCTTTGTGCCGGGAGCCCGCGCCTCCCCCGCTGCCCCTCGGCCACCGCTCTGCGCTGCGGGACCAGCTCGCCCCGAGGTGCCGGAGCCTTACCGAGGGGGGCGAGGGGCGGGTGAAGCCCCTTCCCCCGCCGCCGCCATCGGGGGGCACCGCGCTCTCCCTTGCGGGAACGCCGGCAGGAGGAGGGGAGCGGCGAGAAGCTGCCTTTAATCTCTGCTAGTAATTTTTTTTTTTTACTATGTTTACTTCCGACCCCTCCGAGCACGGCTCGTAGTAAAAAAAAAAAAAAAAAAAAGTAAAATAAATAAAAAGGGCCGCGGAGCGCGGCATCGCTTCTCCCGGCACAGTTCCCTCCCTCCCTGCTTCCCGCCCGCCCGGCAGAGGCGGGGGCAAAGCGCGGCCGCGGATCTGTGCGCAGCGAGCAGCGGAGGGGCGCGGAGCGGCGCGGCCGCCCCCTTGCAGCGCGCCCTCCCGCGGCCGGAGTGCGGAGCCTGCGCGGCTGC